TTGTCTAAATCAGTGGTCCCCAACCTTTTTGGCACCAGGAATGGGTGCTCCTATGAGAATCTAATGCCTCATGATCTGAGATGGAGCTGAGGCCAGTGATGCTAGCGCTGGGGAGCGACTGCAAATACGGATGAAGCCTGTCTCCCTCTCCCACCTCTCACTTCCTGTGAGGCCCTGTTCCTAACAGGGCCATGGACTGCAGCCTGGGGTTTGGGAATCCCTGGTCTAAATAACCCCTTAAGATTCTTTAATACAGTTTTCTACTTCTAGAAATCTAACTTAAGGCACTGCAGTACTATTTGTAATAGTAATAAAATTGTGAACAATTGCCAACAATGGGGAGATGGACAAATTTGTTACTGTAGAGGCATACAATGGAATGTCCTTTTCAAAGGATAACTTAATAACATTAGACATGACTTAATAACATCAGTCCCCTATGTAGACAAATGAAATCCATAATCTATTTGTTCTTTTGTGAATTTTGCTCTTGATGTCATGTCAGAAATCTTTACCTAACCTAAAATCAGAAAGATTTTCTACTATGTTTTCTTCTAGAAGTTTCCTATTTTTAGGTTTTCCATTAGGTCTGTGATATGTTTTGATATATTTTTACATGTGTGAGAGGGATGTATTGATGATTTTTACATATGGATATCTATCTCTTCCAGTTCCATTTGATGAAAAGAATATTCTTTCTCCACTGAATTGCCTTCGATTTGATGCAGACATTATGATTTACATGTTAGGTTCTGAATACTTTTGTATTCCTAATTCTTGAGCCTTGTTGTGGGATGTAGTTAAATTACTTAAAAACAATTTGATCCTTTTGGATTTTGCTTTTAAGATTTGTTTGGCTGGACCAGAGACATGGTTAGTGTAGAACAGGATTTCTCAATATCAGCACTATAACATTTTGAGTCAGATAATTATTTGTTGTGAGGGGCTGTCTTATGCATTGTAGAATGTTTAACAGTATCCCTAGCCTCTACTCTTTAAATGACCCCCCCAGTTGTGAAAACCAAAATGTCTCCTGAAGAGGCCAAATGTTGCGGGGGGCGGGGGGCAGGGAGGTTTGCAAATCACACACACACACACACACACACGCACGCACACACACGCACACACGCATGCACACGCACACACACACACCCACTGAGAATTACTGCTTTAGGGTTAATTATGCCTCACTACTATGGCAAGATCTTCCTGTGTACTCTACTCAGTGCTCTATGAATCATGAGATTTTTTTTTTATTCAATCTGGCTGTTTGGTGTAGGCACTTTTATTGGCCTTGTGTGAGTACTGAGTTCTATTCTCTCTAACCTTTCTAAGTGGTGGTTCTTTCAATCTTGTTTGGTTTACTCACATATATGTGCTGATAAGCATTCAGCTGCATATTCAAGGGAGACCCCCTGTAGATCTCTGGTGTTTCGTCTTAGTCCATTTGGGCTGCTATAACAAAAATACGATGGGTGGTTAAACAACACACATTTCTCACAGTTCTGGAGGCTAAGGAGTCCAAGATCAAAGCACCAGCAGATTTGGTGTCTAGTAAAGACGCATTTCCTGGTTCATAAATGATCGTCTTCTAATTGTGTCTTCACAAGGCAGAAGGGGTTAGAGAACATGCTGGGGTATCTCCTATAAGGGCACTAATTCCATTCATGAAGGTTCTACTCTCATGACCTAATCTCCTCCTAATACCATATCAATGGGGGTTAGGATTTCAGCATATGAATTTGGGGGAAAGGGGAGACACAGATATTCATAACAAGTTCTCTGTCTATACAGCTTTCTGCTCTCCAGTATTGTATCCCATGAACACTAACCACCTTGATCTCTTCAGACTCTATACTCTATCTCCTCAATTTAGGAAGTCTGCTGGGCCTCATCCATTTTCCGTCCTGTGCTACTCATGGCCTAGAAACATTCAAGGCAGTAAGCTGGGGCAGTAGGGCTCATCTTGTTTCCTGTCTCTCAGGGATCTCCTTTGTTGTTTGAGTCCCAGTGTTTTTTTTTTCTTTCTCCCATATATTGTGTCTGTTTATTTGGTGGTTTCAGGTGAGAGGGTAAATATGGTCCTTCTTATTATATCATGGTCAGAAGTCCCTTTAACTGATAATTGATTTGTAGTATTTACTGGTTAAAGCTGAAAGTGTTCTTAAGCATTTACTAACCTAATTTCTTTATTTTGTGGATTCGTATGAGACCTATAGCTGTCATAGTCTTCGTTCAAAGTCTCCTGTTCTCTGTACTTCCTCTAGCACAACGTAAATATTAAAATGGCCCTAAAGCCTTCTATCATCTTTTAATATACCTCTTTAATGCAGGTTTTCACAGTGTTAGCTAAATATGGGCCCCTAACTATACATAGTAGCATACAATTAAAGGACATGCCCTGACCTGGTGAAGCACAACAGCGGAATGCGTCATGGTTTTAGGGCATTGGCACAGCAGGCTCAGAGACTTTCAGAAGGCTCGTTTATATGATAACTCATATTTTCTAGCAGCTAATACACCACCATCAAAGAGTGTTTGTTAGCCTCATTGAGGGTGTAAAGAACTGGTGATATAGGACAGGAGGGAAAAAACGTGAAAGAGAAGATCATTTTGAGCAGTTTATAACATGAAACTGTACTAAAGAATAATGCTACAAGGATGGGAGTGACTTGGAACCCATTGATGGTAAGCTTTTGGAGAAAGGAAAAAGGTAGCAAAATAGAAATAAAATGACAGAAGAAAGAGGACCTTGTTATGTATGAGATGAGCTTCTCAAATCTGCTTCATCATAACTGCTGCAGAGTTTGTAGCTTGTGCTTGTTGGATATTCAAAGATGAAGTAATTTATTCAGAACTTACCTTGGGGAAAAGATATGTATGTAGTAGGTAGAATGAAACCATCTGGCTATGTATATAAACTAAAACATAGCAAAATCATATTTTAATGGAATTTTATATATGTTTATGTAATCGATATACATTAATGTATATAAATTCCATGTGTTAAAATGAATAAATCATATTTCTTTGACCGTTGGGATGTGATGATATGCTGTAGCTAAAAAGAAGGGTTGCATTTTTCTAACTACTGTATGTAAGAATTTTTTAGACTTTTAAAACATGCAGATAACTTATAGGTGGATGTGCTGTTAATTTTCTAAGACTGAAAAACTATTGTGTATGGATAATATTAAAAGCCCAATTTGGAAACAAAATGTGATTTAAGGCTTCCAAAAACCAGGATTGCTTTTTAGTAATTAAGAAACAAATATTTAATTAGCATGTTTCTTATTTGCTGAATATTTTTGATAGTGTAAGTGGTGCTTATGTAGTTAAGTATTTGCCTTTTTCAAATGATTATAATTCTTCATAGCAAGAGTTTGTGTGAATGGAGGAGAATGCAGAACAGTAGCAGTTGTTTATTTTCCTTGGCATAAGGAGGCATGAAAACTTTTTCAGAGGCAGAAATGCATGTTATATGGGAAGGGTAAACACTAGAATCAGGAATTATTATTACATCTGGAAGGAGAGGAAGGAGATGCTTATCAGGGAATGACAGTCACTTGTATTGATGTTTTTTATTTTTAATTAATTAATTTTTTATGGTGACATTGGTTAACGAAATCCAATAGGTTTCAGCTGTACACTTTAACAATGCATATACATATTTACACTGTGTGTTCACTTCCCATAGTTAAATTTATTTCTGTCACCACATATTTGACTCCCTTTACCCCATCTACCTCCTCCTTCCCCCTCTCCATCCCCTCATTTTTTTTTTTTGTTTGTTTTTGAAAGTAGACTTGTAGAGAAAAGTGTAGCTTGTAAGTATATAGCTTGATGAATTTTCACAAAATGAACATACCAAATAACTGATACTTAGATTAAGAAACAGAACATTTGTATGGAAACTGGCCGATTTTTTTCCAAGCTGAGTATTGGCATATGTGTGTTTCCTGTATTATTCTTTATTCTTTTTTTTTTTATGCTTTAAAATTTGCCAAATACTTTGTTTTAACAATCATCTCAGAAGGAAATATGGTCTTCAGGGATCTGGAAAATGTCAGAAAACCCACAGGCTCTAGTAGTTGAGAAAGTACTTCAGGGAAATAGGTTTTTTCTATGTAGGCCTTTGTCTCCTGTGTATCTGATAGTTTATAAACCTGATATTGGCCCAAGTTACTGAAAGTTTTAAAATAGAAAAAGAACATAAATAGTGCTATGTGGGATCAAAGTAGTAAAAATTATTAGTACTTTTTGAAACAGTGCATTATTAGCCTTTCATAATTGCAATATAAAGTTTGGGTCCTCAAATTTATGGGTACATTGAAATGACAGTTTTATCAGTAAAATCTCAATGGTAGTTTAGGAAGGAAATTCCTTTTCAGTTCTATAATGGAACATTCAAAGTATAGAAAGAACTGAGCTATTAAGATATTTATATCTAGTTTAAAGGCTTTATGTCTATTATAGGAATTATTTGTATAGTATATAGACGTATACTTAATCTAAAGGGTTTCCTGAAATTAGTTATGTTTGCCTTTGTGGTAGTTTTTTCTTTTTAGAGAAAGGGAGATAGTTATTTCATAAACATGAAGATTTCTGAAATTTATTTTTACATATAACAAATCTTTCTATATATCCCATTTCATGAAAAATATTAAGATGGGATTTTTTTACCATTGTTCTCAACAGTAGGCTTTATCTAATTAAGTTATGACCACTATGATGTGGAAAAGCCGTTTGTAAATTAACGTTTTATAAAAATGTTTGGTCATTAACCTTTCTGCTATTGAAGTTATATGCAGAAAATTATTAGAATGTTAATGTGTTGAAAAACCACTTGAATAATTCTTGTTTCTTTTACTTCTCTTCTAGAAGCCAGTAAGGCAATGTTGGTAAATTATTGTTTCTGTTATGTTTATATGTATTTGGTTTTCAAAGGAGTTCTTAGGACACACTGAAGTTTTTGTTTTGTTCCTGTTTTCCCTTGACAGGCAGTGGAGGAGGAAATGGCAGGTCCTGATCAACTCTGCATCCGTCGCTGGACTACCAAGCATGTAGCTGTTTGGCTGAAGGATGAGGGCTTCTTTGAATATGTGGACATTTTATGCAATAAGCACCGACTTGATGGTATCACATTGCTAACATTGACTGAATATGATCTCCGGTCTCCTCCCCTGGAAATCAAAGTCTTAGGAGACATTAAAAGGTTAATGCTCTCAGTTCGAAAATTGCAGAAAATACATATTGATGTTTTAGAGGAGATGGGATACAACAGTGACAGTCCCATGAGTTCCATGACTCCTTTCATCAGTGTTCTTCAGAGCGCAGAGTGGCTGTGTAATGGGGAGCCTTCACACGACTGTGATGGACCCATAGCTGATTTGAATTCTGATCAGTACCAGTACATGAATGGTAAAAACAAACATTCTATTCGAAGATTGGACCCAGAGTACTGGAAGACCATATTGAGCTGTATATATGTTTTTATAGTATTCGGGTTTACATCTTTCATTATGGTTATAGTCCATGAGCGAGTGCCTGACATGCAGACCTATCCACCACTCCCAGATATATTCTTAGACAGGTAAGTTTTATTTCTAGTGCCAAGTTTGTAGAAGATTGCTATAATAGCAATAATAATAATATATTTATGATAATTGTGTTGTTTATTATTGTTGGTTTGGTTGATGTATACTTTCCATTTGCTTTATCTGGTAATATAGAAAGATATGCTTTGAAATTGCTTCTTTATCAAAGTAAATTAGACCTTAAGCCATAGCTCCCTGGGCACTTTAGATTTTTAAGGGATTTCCTGGAATGTTGTTTGTAATAAATGGAATGTGGTTACTTTTTTAAAAAATGATGTCAGAGTCCTGCTTTTCCAAAGATTTGGGGAGGTCTCCTGAATCACCAAATAACTTGAAATGATCACAAATAGTACAAACTGATTCACTGATAGTATTCTGTTGTTTTTACAAAATACCTAATATATGCATAATAAAGAATATAGTATATGTATATGAAAAATAAGATTAGAACAAACCTCAAAACTATTTTTATATTTGTGATTTTAAAATATCTTTTTAAAGTTCGTAGTGCTTTCTTGTATATTTTTATAAAAGGTTTTGCCCTCTTAAAAGTACCTTATAGTATGTTCTTTTAATGAAATAGATTAAAATGTCCACGTTAAGATGGCAGAATGACATCCATATTACATTTTGTCCCCTCTCAAACCCCAACTAAGAGCATAGTAAAGAGGTTTTTTAATGTTTACTTAAGTTGCAAACCAACAAGGATAGGGCAGATAGGAGAGGAGAAAACAGCCATACAGTTTTGGAAGTTTGAAAGCAAATAGAAGACCTAAAATAATCCAATTCTAAAACAGCAGTCGAGAAAACTGAGAACTAACCCGATCTTTGTTTCAAATTTCTCAAATCTCTGGACATTGAAGGTGAAAGGGTGGCACTAAAATAAGAATTGAATTAAAACTGTTTAAGAAGCTGTTAGATCCCTATATCTTCTTCCCTATTCTTAGTTCTTCTGACTGTAAACAAAGACTCCAAAGAAGTAAGGAAGAAAGCATACGGATATCTGGGAAAGCATACTGTGGGCAGAGGAAACAGCAGGATGCAAAAATCCAGAATTGGTAGTGTGCTTTAGCATGTTTAAGGAACAACAAGTAAGAAATGGGAGAACTGTTGCAGATGAGGTCTTACAGGAGACAGGAATCCAGATTGTGTAGGGACCGTTGTAAGGACTTAAGCTTTCATTCTGAGTGAAAGGAGAAGCCATTGGGAACTATTTAGGAGAAGAGTAATGTGAACTAATTTCCACTTTAAAAGGTTCCTTTAATAGTTGCATTAAGAATAGCGTGGGGGTGGGGGTAGGAAAGCAGGGGTTAGTTAAATTACTGAATTCATCTAGGCAAAGATGAGGTAGATTTTAGGATAAGAATAGTAGTGGTAGAGATGATGTGAAAGAGTCAAATTATCTATCTATCTATATTTTTCGAAAGTACAGCCAACAGATTTGTTGATGAATTTGTATGTAAGGTGTAAGTGAAAGAGAGAAGTCAAGAATTATCCCAAGATTTTTGACCTGAGCATCTGGAAGGATGGAGTTCTCCTTTACAGAAATGGAAAGACTGTAGAAGGAGTTGATTTGGAGAGAAAATTAAGGGTTTGGTTTTAGACACGTCAAATTTGAGATAATCTTTTACAACAATCAGATGTCAAGTAAGAGCTGGAAAGATGAGTTGGAATTCAGAGCAATCTAGGGCTGATTTTAGGGAGTTACCAGCGTAGTTGAAGCCATGATGTTTGATAAGGTCTCCTAGGGAGTGAGAAGGGAAAAGAAGATTAAAGATTGAGCCCCAAAACATTACAACATTTAGAGGTCAGAGAAGTAAGGCAAAACCAGCAAAGAAGACTGAGAATGTCAAGGCAGAAAGATAGTAGTATCCTGGAAGCCAAGTTTAAAAAGCAATTTAAGAAGGCAGGAATAATTAATAATTAGCTGTCAAGTGCAGCTTAGGGGTCAAGTAAGATGAGGATAACTGACAATTGGATTTAGCAACTATTTGGTCATCAATGACCTTGACAAAAGTGCCTGATTGTAATGGGTTTAAGAGAGCATGTGAGACTTACGGGAATTGACCTAAAGATATATCTCCATAAATATGAAACAACATTTCATACAACATTTCATACAACATTTCGTACAAAGTTATTTGTTGTGACATTATTTGTAACAATTATAAATTTTAGAAATAATCTAAATGCTTATCCATGGAAAAGCTAGTTGAATATACTATGGTACAGCTATACAATAGAGATGGTTTAATCGTAAAAAAGAATGAAGAAGATTTTTATGAACTGATATGAAATGATTTGCAGGAAAAACTCAGGAGCAGTTAGCAACATGAGCATCCAGTTCCTGGTTTCTAAATACCAATCCCTAAAAGGAAACTTAGACCAAGGCTTAGAGAAAGGGCTGATTTTAAGTCTGGGGCAAGGAAAGTGGAAAATGAGCCTGAAATAGATCTTGTGCCATAAAGCAAGGAAGTGCACAAAACCAGTGGAAACAAGTCAAAAGAACATAGGAACTGGTTCAAAGGGGCTCCCACTGATCAAAACAATTATAACATCAAAAAGAGTAGTGATGGTAATGGATTATAATATGTCAAGTAAGAAAAAAGATCTACGAATCCATATTGATAAACAAAACAAACAAAAAGTGGTGGGGTGAGAGGAAAAGTTCTTCAGGAATAATACCAGCAGATAAATGTTGGTGGCCTGACTATTTTGCAACCTGCCATGTAATAATTGATTCAGGCAAGTGGATGCTAAAATCTATTAGGTGAAAGGCTATTGGGGGGCAAGATAATCACATGATCTGAAAGTATCATCTCACATGTTACTTAATTACAGAGAGAATAAGGTACCTTTACAATGGCAAGCTCTGACATGTGTCATTGTAACCATATGATCAAATGTAGCACCGCAGTGGGACAAACTGATATTACGTGCACTGGATGTAATGTTCATAAATCACCTATGGAATAATCTTGCCAAAAAAAAAAAAAGATATCCTAAATTTAATCATAAGGAAATCATCAGACAAAACTAAAACATGGAACATTCTACAAGGCAGCTGATTCAGACTCACCAGAAATGCTAATGTCATGTCAGACAAAAGCCAGGCAGGGAGAATTGTAAGGGAAATTAAAGAGATATAACCAAGAGCAAAGCATGAACTTTAATTAGATCCTGTATCGAGGAAAAAAAGTACTGCTAAAAAGGACATTTTGGGGACAATTAGGAAAATTTGAATATGGATTGCATATTAAATGATGTAGTGTAAAACCAAATGAGTGCTACAGTTTTCTGGGTTTAACAGTGTATTGGATTATGAAGAGAATATCCTTGTCTTAGGTGATACATGTTAAAGTATTTAAGGGAAAAGTATCATAATGTCTGCAACTTACTTTGGTGAGAGGGGATCAGTCTCCTCAAAAAGAATATATGGGTATGTGTATGTGAGTATTTATAGAAATATTGAAATGAAGCAAATATGGAAAATGTCCATTATTGTAAACAATTGATAGATTTAGGTGAAGAATATAAAGTGTTATTCCTTCAACTTTTGGTATGATCAGAATTTCTCAAAAAAAAAAATGGCAAAGAAATGATAAGAGAGAAAAAGAGAATGGGAAGAGAGAAATTGGAAACAATTGAGTCTTATAAGTTTTCCTTTAAGGGCAGTAGAGAAATGAAGCTGTAGCTTGGAAGAAGAGGATATGGAATCAACAGGATTTTGTTTTGAATGGGCTATATTATAGCATGTTTGTTATATGACCCAGTTTTGGGGGAGGGAGATGATATTAGAAGGAATAGAGAGTACACTTGTTGGAGTCATGTCCTTGAGTATATGAAAAGAAATAGGATCTAGTGGGTGGGAGAGGCTGGTCTTAGGTATATGGACTGTTCTTCTATAATGGAAAGATAGGAATGATGGAAACAGAGGTAGAAGGTTGCTAGATATAATTTTCCTGATTTTTTTTATTTTCTCTTCAAACAGAAAGTTAGAATGGAGAAAATGTTGGGGGTTTGAGGAGAGAGGATGAGGTGTAAAGTAGTTAAGAGAGTGAATAGACTTGTGTGACATGTAACAGCCTCCTTGAGGTTGGTAGTCATGTTGGCATTATGTGTTTTACCACCCTCATTCAACTAAAGGCCTCCTTGAGGTTGGTAGTCATGTTGGCATTATGTGTTTTACCACCCTCATTCAACTGCATAGATACAGGTATGGAATAGTTGGATAATTGTCTTTTTAGCAGGGTTGAAGTTTTTCTAGGCAGTACAATGAAGGAAAAAGAGTCAAGGGAGTGATTATAATGACTGACTATGGACTCAGGTGGATAAGGAAGGATGTGAGGATATGAAGTAAATGAAGGACAGTGAAAATATTATAAGATCAATAGATTTCAGGTCTCAGAATTATTGAAGTTGGAGTAATGGAGGGAATAAGCTGGAAAGACAAGAGGTATTGGTCAGTATAAGATTCCTGAAATTGAGATTTTGAAGAAGAATCTCGGTAATGACAAGATCCAGGTTATAACCATGGGTGTAGGTTGCTGAAGTAGAGTAAAAGCCAGGGTCATGGGAGGAGAAATTAATAGAGAAGTGAGTGAGAAGCACACAAATTACAACAGGAGAAGTTTTAGAGAAAGTGATAGTGAAGCAGAAATTAAAATCTTCAAGAAATGAGAGAATGAATGCTGAGGGGTCCATAGATGACTATGACAATGAATAGTGGGAGAAAAGAGAGAAAGTGGTCTGGGAGGAAAGAGAGAAAATGGTCTGGAAGAGCAATGAGGATTTTATTTGAAAGTGTACAATTCATTGGTTTTTAGTATACTTAAAAAAATGTGCAGCCATCACCACTAATACCAGAACATTTTCATCACCCCAAAAGAAACCCATATCTCTTATCAGTCATACCCCATTCCCTTCCTTCTCTCTCCATAAATGTAGATTTATGTTTCTGTGGATTTGCCTATTCTGCACATTTCATTTAAATAGA